TCTTCCAATCCCAATGCTCACTCATTGTTTTTCTCGACTGCCTTATTTTGCTTTATTTTGGGTAACAGATTTAATAGATTCTTTGTCACATGGAGACTTACAATGATTTAGACTATGTCATGCACACAACCTAAATCATCGTGATAGTCTAAATCATCACGTGTCCCACATGGTGGCTGGCTTTTGTTGGTAATCTGACATGATGGTTTAGGCAATGAATTGTAAGCAATGAGTCGGGAAAGTTCTGTAATGTGATAGGAACCCACTTTTCACTAAGTTAGCTGTATTCAACACTACTGCTCATGTGGCTGTCTCCATGGTCCCTGAAAATCTTTAGCACACAGGACTGTTGACCCTTTCACACACATTCCTGTGGGACAGCTGGGCTGCCCTCAGGAAGTGGACGCACTGTCCTCCTGGAACTCCTGATGACCAATAGTTATAAGATACAGATACAGGAAAGGCAGGCCCACTCTGTTTTCTCATCTAGTCAGTTACTGAAAACATGCCCAAAAGAAACAGTCAGTGAAGACTTGTGGTGTGGTTTGAATAAGAATGGCCTCCACAGACTCACATATTTGAATGCTTAGGGAATTGGCAGTGGGGTTGTTTGCAAGCATTAGTAGGTGTGGTCTTGTTGGAGGAAGCAAGTCACTGCGGGTGCCTTTGAGGTTTCAGAAGCCAGAATCAGACCCAGTTTCTCATTGCTCCTTCCTGCTGCCTGTAGATAGGGATGTAGAACGCTTAGCTCCTCCAGCACCAAGTCTGTATGAATGCAACCATACTTCCTGCCTTGCTGATAATGGACTACACCTCTGAAACTGTGAGAAAGCTCAATAAAATGCTTTCCTTATTAAGAATTACTGCGGTCGTGGTGAGTACAATAGAACAGCAACTAAAATCAGACCGAAGGGCATCTTTTACCTAGAGCTTCCTTTCTTTAGCAAACAGTGGTGACGTTTTTAAATGTTTTGTTTTTAAAATCCTGAGAAGCAGGTGATGGAAAAGCAACAGAATCTCAGGAAAGATAAGAGATTTCTCTAACCCGTTCAAAGCTCAGTGGGAAAGCCCAGACTTTGGAACACTGACCTTTTCCACTGCTTCTGAAAGTTCTGCAGGGACAGAGAGACAGCCAGGGGACAGAAGACTCACTCTTCCCTTTGCCTCCAGAACACCAGTGTTTGTAAGAAACGATGGCCAGGGAACTGGGTCGCAGAGTGCTGCTTGATTGATCACAGCCTCCAATTAAAACAGGTTTGTAAACTCTCGGCAATAATTTGAAACACGCAAGAGTCTTGCACCGAGAATGTTAAAAATTCACATCTAGAACCACCTGCTGCGCTTCATTATCACAGTTCTGGTGGCCTGCCTTCAACGTTTTGAGTAGTTTCACCTTTTGGACACTGTGCCTCAATGTCCCCAGTGCAGTGAAACTAGGTCACAAGCTATGGCCCTCGGAACATCTCACACGAGCATATGTCTGTAAAACAGCCCCATGCAGCATTCCAGTGTCCCCCAGCTCCTACCAGCTGCTGCTGACAAATGGACCCCTCGACCTCCCGTCTCATAGTGTGTCTAACATCTGCCATTGTTCAAACCACAGGTTGCAATACTGGGCCGGTGTCTGCCATCCCTGGGGATCTGTGCTCTCCAATGGGCAGGGGAAACTTAGAAGGGACAATGTGAGAAAGGGGCCTGCCCTCGCATATCACAAACATATCAAGGTTTTATCTGGGAGGACGTGGTGAAAGCGCTCACCGACATGACAGTTGTCCACTTAACAAAAGGTTAACCGAGGATCCCTTTCTATAGAGCTCTTCATGAAGGCATTCCAAAGTCTACCCAGCTCCCAGAACTCCACTGACATTTTCAGAGATGACTCTTATCCCAAAGAAAATACAGAGGTGTACAGCAGGGGTCTGCAGGGGAAGACATTCCTCCTGCAAACCCTCCTGGCCTTCTCTGGTATGTGTGGCCCCTCTCTACGGTATGGAAATCACACTGGGTACCAAATCCCAGGCAGGACACCTCTTCTGAGGGCCTAGTAAGTGTGGCAGGAAGGCCCACCCAAGGCTTCCCAATGCACCCCTCGAGCATGCAGCCTTCCCAGTGAGCCCTGCAACAGCAACAGCAGAGACGGTGTCTCGGAGAAAACTTACATAAGCAAATGTCTCCTGGCAAACAAGACTCACTGGAGGAGGCTAATATGAAGGGCAAGTTGCAGCCCTTACATGTATGTCACTATTAAATGTGGAAAAAATTGCATACTTAGGAACTGAGTAAAGTTTTCACCAATTTTTCTCCCAATTATTTTGTTGTTCTTGCTGCAAACGGTCAACTAAAATATCACTCATGCCCCCAGATAGATAGGTATAGAAAAATTTAAAAGTCCCCTTTCCTTAGTAACTGGATTTGTCTTTCCTGTTGCAATGTCCTTTCCCTGTTTGTCCAGGAAGAATGTCTTTCCACCCCCCCCCCCCCGCCTCTAATAAGAATGGGGAGAGGAATGTCTTCCTCGTATTTGAACGTTATCTGTGCTCTAAGTGGGATCACTAGTAACAGTCATATTTTGGAGCTAAAATGTAACCCAACCATGCTTAGCATTTGTGGTGAGGCCCTGGGATTCAATCCAGCACAGAAACCAAACACATAACAGTTATTTCTGATGGTCAGGCCAACCCGCAATGAACTGCCGTCAGCTACGGAGATAGGACTATGTGCAGACAGATGAAGTCAGCTAAGAATGCCTTTTTTTTTTTCTTAAGGTTAAAACCAAAATGAAAATTCCATATGTAAACCTATCACTTTGCTAGGTCATTCAAAAAGTAAGTTGAAAAGGCAATATAATTTATTATTTTCGACCCATAAATTTGCTTTGTTGGTTACTGTATATACATTCATAATGGTATAAACTTGCAGGACGCAAAGTGATGCTAAGATCTAGCTGTGTGATGTGGAATAACTGCACCAAGCTAATTAGCATATCCCTCCCCCAAACAGCCATCTTTTGGGGCATGGTTTTTGAAGCCTTTATTCAAATAAGGCCTCCAGTACTCTGAGAAACAAGGGAAGGGCAGGGGCATCTACCTATGTTTCTATACCACTGGAAATTTCTGCAATAGAAAAGTTTGAGATGCTTCCTCACTCCCTCTGCCCCCATGGCCCAGTCCTCTCCCTTACTGAAAAGGGCCAACTAATTTATGAGTCCTCTTTGCACAGGCAGGCAGTGGGGGCAGGGTGAGAAAGAAGGGCACCTGATCACTGGCAGGGCCAAGCTCACCCTAGCAAGGGGCCAAAGTGTTTGAAGGCGCGAGGCAAGGAAGCAAAAAAAGAGAGGTGCTTTCTTACACATCCACAGGCCCCGCACCTGTGGTCTGCAACTTCAAAAGGCCGGTCAAAGGGATACCTCTGAAATTTCTGAATACCTCTGAATTTTCAGCTCCTCTGAAAATTCCTCTCAGTTTCTTCCTCCCATCCTCCAAACTGACAGCAGACTGTTGACGCTACTTTGGCGACCCTATTTTTCCTCTTTGAAACCATTTTTCTGCACGCACCCCCGAGGCTCCAGCAATGACACCTTGGCAAAGAAAAGTTGGCTGGCCCTGAGGTTTGGTTGGAGGCTGTCACCGGGGGCTCAAGCAGCAGGTCTGCGCAGCTCGCTGCCTCTCTGGCTTAGGGTTCTGACCAAACTCGCTGGGCTGTAGGAGAGGGCCTCACAGAAGCATGTCCACTGCTTGATTCTAAACAGAAAAAAAAAAAAAAAAGAACCCCTCGGCATTGCCCCAACCGACGTCCGTCCCCCAAACAAATTCGCCGGGACCACCGTTTGCTGCACCAAAAACCTGGTGAGGCTCTGATAGGCGCAGGCAGCCCAGTTCTTACCCGCAGCGCAGAGGCGCCACCGCCACAGCTAACACCGCAGGAGCCAGGAGCGTGGTGCGCACTTTCAGTCGGAGGTGCCCCGTGCCTGAGCTTCTGCTGCCAGAAGACCCCACAGAAAATGAGGACTGCTAGAAGACCCCTTTCTTTTTTTCCTTTAATAAAGCCAAGCGCCCCTCCGCTGCCTCCACAAAACTCAGTTGAAAGGCTCCCACACCGAGGGAAGGGTCCTCAGAACAGGCAAATGCCCAAAGCCCTTTCTTAAGGAAAGTGTCCAACTCCATGGGTGGCCCACTCTTTCTCCATTATACAGAGAGAAGAGCGCGAATGAAGAGTAGAAATCTCGCCTGGGGACAACCAAATTAGTAGCTGAACCCCGTTAGCGCATCTGCTTGCCCCCACCTAGGCGCCAGGACTGGCGGCTCCAAGGCTGCAGACTGTCGCGCTTGCCAGGGCCCGGAGAGCTCATAAAACCCGGTCTCTTCCAGGTCGGACTTAAGGGGCTCTAGAAGTCCTGTCCTCCATCCAGATAGCTTCTTGTGCCCCCTACTTCATCTAGGTCCTTCTGAATTCTACCTTCCCTTTCCTTTGGCCCTTTCCTTCTCTGTCCCATGTGGACTTCAGTGCCAGCTCCACGGGTACCTCGCTCACCAGCCCCTGTTGGACTCCGCTAGGTCGCTCCAGGGAATGCTCGGAATCATCTAGGCTGGTGTTCCCGTATCCCGGCCTGGCCCGGAGCAGCCTGGCTCCTTCGCACTCAGTTCACAGACTCACTAGCTCTAACCGACGTCGCACAGCAGCCCCTTCATGCCGCCTGGGTACCCAAGGTGGCGAGGAGCCAAGGTGCAGCCGGCTGATAGTACTGGTTCCTGTCCTCTGCATCTTCCCGGCCAGGCGCCATCTCCCCTCTCACGGGGCGACACAGTGTCTCCCCGGTCCGGCTACCGCGACCCAACGGGACTTACCGCGGGCCGGCACACCGCCGCCTGGTCTGCGAGCTGCGAGGCGTCCGCCCGCCTGAGCCGCGGGCATCCTCCCGCGCCCGCCGCCCGCTCGCCGTTGCCGCCGCCCACTCCCGCAGCCCCCGATCTTCCCGCGCCGCTCCGCCGCTCAGGACTTACCTCCGGGACAAGGTGACCCGGCTGGTGCGCCCAGGCGGCCGCCCGCGCGTCTCGGGAGCCAGCGAGCGTGCGGGGCGCGGTGCGGTGCGGAGCCCGCCTCTGCTCCTGGGCTCGTGGCTCTCCGCCTCTGCCCTCCCCTGCGCGCTGCTTCCCCCGCCGCTCCCCTCCCTGGATCGCAGCCAGCGCCTCGGGCTGCCCCGCGCACAAGGTTTCCGAGCGCCAGGCGCGGGGCAGCGGCGCCGCCCTAGCCGAGCTGGGTCCTCTTGGCCCCTGGGAGCAGAAAGGGCTTGGGCTGAGCAGGGGGTGACCCGGAGTGCGCCGCTCCGCTCTGTTGGGTTCACCGAGCTTGGCGACTTGCACGAGGGAGGAGGCGACCGGAGGCCCCCCAGGGAGGAAGAGGAGGAAGAGAGGGAGCAGCGGTGCGCGAAGGTGGCCGCCAACTTTGCCCCAGGCCAGCCGTGCCCTCTTCAGTGATAGCGGCTGGCGGGTGGCCCGGGGCGGGTGTCTGGAAACGTTGGGGCGACAGAGGCTGGGAGGGGGGGAAAGGGGACTGCCACTAGGGACTAGGAGAGCAGGGATTAGCCTCGGACTATGGAAACGATGGCTTCCCTTGGTCCTAAAAGGCTCCAGGTCGCCTTGAGGTTCAGAAGAACCCACTCTGAAGGTCCAGAGAAAGCCCAAGTCCTGACCAGCAGGACCAGGAATAAAGACAGAGGCGTGCGGTCACGACGTCGGTACTCTGAGACTCAGCCTGCAGCTTGGACCTAGACTGGTGTAGGTGCACTGCGGGTGGCCTCATAGTAGTTGCCACTAGAAAAAAACTGGGGTGGCGGCAATTCAGGGCTGGGGGTGGGGCAGAGTGGTGGTTTGGAGTAGGTCGAAGGGAGCCATAGCAGAGCCGCCTACGAAGACAATCTACATTTCAAACGTTGAGGAATCAAGCGAGAGGGTGTGTTTTCATTATAGATTTAACAGGGAAGAAACTAGAAAATGTGCGAATAACAGGATCAAAAGTTGTTTTGTCTGTGCGACCCCCTTTCAACAACTGTGGAAGACTCTCTGTACTTCAGCTCAACCAAACCCAGGCTTTCGTCCTGGGGGAGTCAGCACTGCTTATCTCCTAGTTCGATAACTAGTTGTATAGCTTTCTTAAGAGAGTCTGCCCCCTGCTTGAAAAAGTGGGGTTTCCATCTCCGGATTTGGAAGTGGCTCTGGTCCTCCCGGAGAGCCCTCTGCAGCACTTGGCTTCCCTGGACCCTCGGCAGTTCATAGAGGATAATCTTATTAAAGTGACATAGGAAGAAGGCTGAGCTGATTAATAGACCCAGGTGTGTTCACAGCAGCTCCTCGCTTGGGTTCACTGGAAGGTCTTTACATCTAAATATCACACCCATTCCCAACTCCGCAGCAGCTAGGTGCCTGGCTTTCTTCCTCTGGTTGCTCTTAGCTGTGGGCAGGACTGTTACCTGGGATGTCCTGAAAAGGACACTGTGAGGGTCCCCCATGGAGCAGCTCTTAAACTGAAGAAGAATGTCAACCCTAACTATGTAAAAACACCTTTCAGTCTCTGCTTCCTTCCTGAAATGAACGCTCTCTACTCTCCTCTGAACTGCTAGGCTAAGCATATGTTGTTAAACACATGTGAGGCAGAGAATCAGCATGGCTGTTTGTCATTTGAAGAACCCGAGGCTTGAAAGATTGGGAGCCCCATGGCTCCCAGACTCACGAGTCACCAACAACGATACTTCATTTTCTCTATATAGGCAGTGCTTTCTTATCTAACTCACAGAGATCTGTCTGCTTCTGCCTCCTGAGTCCTGGGATAAAAGACTTGAGCCACCATCGCCAGGCTAAGGCAGTGCTTTCTTGATAGCCAGTCTTGAGATTGACTTTAGAGGTGGGCTTGGTTTGGCCAGAGCACCTGCCAGGTTTACAACTGCTTGAATTTTAAGTAGAATTTCACTGATAGAGTAGGCAAGTAATTTGCAGAATGTAGTGTTAAGCCTGACCTCAGGCCCCCACTGGCTCTCTTTTTCTTCTGAACTGAGAGCAGAAGGAAGAAAGAAGGTGCTTTGGCAGTGGCCTCTAGGGTTGAGTCTCTGTAACCTGTTTCAGTGAATTAGGGACTGTTAACAGTTTCCAGTGGGTGCTTTACTAGGCCATTCCAGGCCCTGTGAGCACAGAAATTTATCCACAGATTGACAGTTTTATCTGGCCTTTGGTTTGACTGGATGGCTAGATAGATAGATAGATAGATAGATAGATAGATAGATAGATAGATAGATATAAATAAATAGATAAATGGAGTCTTGTGTGTGTGTGTGTGTGTTTGTATTTCTGAGAAAAAGGATTTCTAAGACTTTAATTCTCTTAATCTGCCTTATCTACTTTGCTATTTAACTTTTTACTTTCTAATTGTGGAGTGGACGTCCACCTCTCAATTGAAGGGTGGCCTCCTAACATGACTGTATTTTATATTTAGTACAGCTCTTTTTTTTTTTTTTTTTTGGTCATACCCCAAGTCTTGAGCAAATGTTTAATGATAAATAATTATTGAAGGATAAACCCACACTGGATTATGCTGTCAAAGGTAGAAGTCAGAACAGGAGACAGCTCAGTGGTAGAATACTTGCCTATTGTGTATGAGGCTCTGGGTTCTACTCCCAGAACCACAAAAAGAAAAACTGATATCTGTTAAAGAAAAAGAACACTTTGGAAAAATAATTTATACACTGTCTTAGCTGTTTTGACTTACTATAACTTTGATTATCATTTGCCCCATGCTGATCATTTAGCTTCCAGATTCCAGCTAGCTGCTGTCTCCTATTGAGAGCACTCCCCTCACCTCTCGCTGTGAATATCCGGAAGCACACTGAGACTCACGCACAGTTATGCCATCCAAATGAGCCTTTCATTTTGTTTCAATAGAAATCTACATTTCTTTTTTAGTCAGGTATCACGTGTTAACAGGGACACCACCTGTTCCTGGCAGACGACTGAACACCTCAGTTGATCTGGCATACTGGCACACATGTGGGACAGTTTTTCCTACCGGCAAAGCCCTAGCTGTTGTTGGGAACATGATCGGAGCTCTTTTGCTATGCTGTAGCAGTGAAATATAGGCTTTGAAAGTCAGTGAAGGGCTGTCAGTATCAGGTTAGAGCAGGACACCACAGCAACTGCTAATCTCCTGGAAATTGGGTAACATTCTCAACAATGCTTATCTCTTAGAGGAGATTACAGAATTCTCAGAGCTTTGGGAGGTGAGTGGGGCCAGTTCCTGTGTTGTGAGCAACTATCACTCAGGTGCTGAACAAGCTGTCAAGCCTCTGGGTAGCCGAGATAGGGGACATGATCAAGAGAACACAGATTTAAGAGGGTTTTTGTTGTTGTTGTTTTTTTTTTTTTTTTTTGCTTTTTTAAATTTTAGATAGAAGACATTTCTTAGTGTGGACTCACTAAAAAGCTTTAGAGTTTAGGGTTATGCATAGTGTCAGGATATTTAGGCCTCATGTTTAGGTGTCAACAACATTCATTGAGAAAACATCTTTAGATTATAGGTAGAAAGGTTCCGCCTCCTCAAGCTGATCAAAACGCCAAAGGAGATGAAATCAGACTGTACCCAGTTCCAAAGCTATGCCACTAACTAGGGTTTTGTTTGTTTGTTTTCCTCTTCTCCCTCCAAGATCTGTTATTAAGTTGTCTCTATTGAGCTTAGGAGACTCAAGAATCAAAAAACTGGCTGTCTTGTTAAAGTTAAATCTTATTAACTTGGAGGGTAGAAAGATAGCCATTGCAGTGATTGATATGTTAATAAACACGGTGGCCAACCTCTACAGGGGGGCATGGGTTGCTATCAAACACAAAGTGAAAAATTCTAACTCTTAAATAAAAGTCTGAGACAACGGTGGCATGAATTTGGGACAGGAAACAATATCAGAATGTTAGTTGGATGGGGCATCATCTAGCCAAATGCCTGGTATGCCAGCTTAAGCTGTTGCAGAAGAGCTAGGATGTGAGTGTGGTCAACTCCAGGTTCAGCTCCACAGTGGTCCAGAGTTTTCAGAGCTCACTTGCAATAGGACTGCTGCAGGCAAAAATGAAAGGGAGCTTCTTTGCAAGTGCTTTTTTTTTTTCCTCCTATTTTTATTTTATTTGAAAAAAGCAGAAAAAAGCCATCTTTTTTTTTTTCATTTTCCATACCAATCCTAGTTCCCACTCCCTCACCTCCTCACACTTTCTCTGCTTTCCCCACTACCCCACTTCTCAGAGAGGCTAAGGCACATTGCTTTGAGGAAGGACCAAGGCCCTCCCTACTATATCTAGGCTGATCAGGGTATCCCCCCCCCAAAGAGCCAGTACAAGCAATAGGGATAAATCCAGGTACTACTGCCAGTGGCCCACAGTCTGCCCAGCCATACAACTGTTACCTACATTCCAAGGACATAGTTTGGTCCTATGCTGGTTCCTTCCCTGCCTAGCTAGAGTTGGTGAGCTCCCATTAGCTCAGGTAAGCTGTTTCAGTGTATATCCCCATCATGATCTTGACCTCTTTGCTCATATTCTCACTCCTCCCACCCTTCGGCTGGACATTGAGAACTCAGCCCAGTGCTCCACTGTGGCTCTCTGCCTCTGCTTCCATCAGTTCCTGGATAAAGGTTGTATGGTGATATTTAAGATAGTCATTAATCTGATTACAGGGCAAGGCCAGTTTGGGCACCCTCTCCACTACTGCTTAGGGTCTTAGCTGGGATCATCCTTGTGGATTCCTGGGAATTTCTCTAGTGCCAGTTTTCTTGCTAGTCTCATTATGGCTCCCTCAATCAAGATATCTCTTTCTTTTCTCTTTGTCTCTGTCTTTCCCCCATCTTGACTATACTGTACCCTCAAGTTCTCCTCCCTGCTCCCCTTCACCTTTCATCTTCCCCTTTCATCCAATGAAATTGAATTGAGACCCAGATATTAATCCACACACCTATGAAGACCTGATTTTTGACAAATAAGCTAAAATTATACAGTGGAAAAAGAAAGCATCTTTGACAAATGCTGTTGGCATAACTGAATGTCAACATGTAGAAGAATGAAAATAGATTCATATCTATCCCCATGCACAGAACTCAAGTCCAAATAGATTAAAAACCTCAAAATAAATCTGACTACACTGAACCTGATAGAAGAGAAAGTGGGAAGTAGCCTTCAATTTATAGGCACAGGAGACCACTTTCCTAAATATAACACCAGTATCATAGACACTGAGAGCAACAATAAAT